CTCTTTCTTTAAGGAGTTCCTTAGAACTCTGGTGCTATGGTTTCTTGAAGAAAAAGGATTTGATTTAAGCTATCAAATAAGTTGAAGAAACACTGCATACCCTAGAAAGTTCATGACATGTATTAACTTTTAAGGCTCTGAGAAGTTCTGCTGGACATAACCCAATTGCTTGCTGTTTAACATGGCATTTTTTAAACTTTCTTGATCACAGAATCCATTTTCCATTTTACACACATGAATATCTTGAGGATCTAGTATTCTGTGAAACATTTTGAGAAATACTGACCTATAGGACTATAAATACTAATTAGCAAAACGAATTTTTCATTCACTTTAGTTTCTGAAGCTTTAAATTTCGAAACAGTCTAGAGGATGGGGGAAAGCAATGCTTTGAAATCCATGAACACATCAACAAAAGCAGGGTGATGTGGGTGGTTGTTTCTTGCAAGGTGGAGTATCTCTATTTTGGAACAAAAATCTAATAAACGTGTGTCTCCAAGTCGAGGAAAAGAAAGTAGTCAGCAAGCATCCTCCCGCCTGCCCCAAGGCCAAGGAGGGCCTCTAGGAGGCAATCTCTCCAGCAAAGGAGCAAACAAGGCCCTCTGTCCCATCTCCATGTAGAAAGGTAAGCCTGTGTGAAGCACAGGTGGACCCTGGTGGAAGACTCTACTTACAGAAAATGTTATTTACAAAATGTCGACTGTTGAGCATTATGGACACTCTAAAAAGCAGCATTTAAAATGGGAGCTTAAAGTTTACAAGAATTATAAGTAGTAATTCTGGTGATTTTTACCCCATTTATTTATGCTCCATATAAGCTTTATAGCTAGAAGAGCTCCACAAAGCCATTTATAAATATAACTGCTTAAAATGGAAGCCGCTCAGGCTCTGTCCTCATGCTCAGCAGGCTGACCACAGGTGAGCACAGGTGCATTATAAAACCATCAGGCCTAGGAAGAGTAGCCTTAGTGCTGGCTGTCACTGCTTTCCAGGAAGAAAACTCCTTCTCATGGCTGTATCAATTTTCCTTTATTCTCATCAACACTAAAAGGATCCTGACAGTCATTCTCTCCATGAATGACAGTTCAGACTTTGGGCTTCTGAAAAAACTAAGAATAAAGATTCCTGCAGAAGCAGAATTCTTCAGGCTGACATACTGTGACCAGAGACTGCGGTCACAAGTGCAAATAACAGAGTATATTCTCCAAGTAATTCGAAACAGATTCATATTTACATGTTACATTCCCTAAAACAGATATTTACATCAAGAAAAAACATGATATAGCCTTTATTACCCCGTATTTGGTTAGAATTAGTCCTATCCCAATGTAAATTTTAAAGACACGATGGAATCACAGCATTCAAGCATCAAACAACCATCAAAGATTTACTCCTTTTGGGTAGCCTACATATAAGTTCTAAATGGCTTCTAACACTGGAGCCTGTTTCCACACTTCTAGTCCACTATTTCTTTATAGTTTCACCTCATTACATGTCATCTCACTAGGGCCATTTCACAAACAGAATGTTAGGGTTTCAAGTTTAAAATTATAGATACTATGCACCTTGAGAAACTCTATGATTCTGTCCTCTTTTGACAGATGAGAAATCTAATATTCTAAGAGATTCATTAATGATGTGGCCAGTGGCAGAGACAAGAAGAGAACTACCCCTCCCTTTTCTGCCTGGACTTTTCTGGTGGATACTTTCCAATCCTTATCATAAAGTAGTTTAAACACAAAATGAAGCTGTTCTCTAATGGGGTCTCCAAATGCCTTAATGCCTTACATTCATCAATAAAGATGAATGTAAGAGTCTGTGAATTTAGGCATCTTTTGACTGGGATGAGACTGAAGCTGCTCTACCTCTGAGAGGAGACACATCTCAAACTCCAGAGGGCTGACCGGATGCTCAGGCTGACAGCCACGCCATCATCCCAGCTCACAGCCACCTCTGCCACCAATCTGTAAGTATGCGCACCAAGCTTTATAAGCATCTGAAAAAAGACAGTGCCCTTCACACCCCAGCAGCTGGTACTCATAAAAAGGTGTGGCTATTTTTTCTTTTCTGGGTAGAGCCATAGATCAAAGTATTTCGCACGTGGTCTAAAACAAATGACGTGTGAAACACCTGGCCCTCCAGAGAAGCGCCTCACCACAGCTCCTCGGCAAGACTGTCAAGTGAACAGAAGTGCTCAGTTAACCATACAAGGCGGCACAGATTCAGGGTCATGTGAACTTCTGCTTGCAAGCCAGGAAGTCAGTCTGGAGAAATACTGAAAAAAAAAAAAGTCAAACCAAGAAAGTATCATAAAGCAACTTTTGGGAAGCTGGGCACACACTTAATTTGGGAGAAGTGAGGTGTGAGATTCTGACCTCAGGCCTGTTCTGTGAATTTAGGAGAGAGTCTTCAATAAAGTGATAGTCACTGTTAGGTTTCAAAGCAAAAAACATAATTCAGGCTACATGTGCTTCTGGCTGTTGGGAGGAACAATACATTTCAAGGCAAATTGGAAATTCTAAGCCCTGAAACCAGACTCCCTCAAAGACCCCCATTATCCTTAGGATGCTTCTTCTCTTGCTCTGTGGTCATACTGAGCTACTTTTTACTTTTGGGAAATTTTCATGACTTTTCATTTTTAACTGAACATACCTAATGAGTGCAATGTGCACCAACTGGGGGATGGACATGCTTGAAGCTTGACTGGGGGGGGGGGAGCAAGGGCAATATACGTAACCTTAACATTTGTACCCCCATGATATGCTGAAAAAGAAATCTCCTCACAACCACCTGTCTCAAAATATTCTGAGGAAAAGTGACCCTAAGGTTCCATTAGGGCATAATAATGAAATGCATTATCCCCAAAGTAGTAATTTATTATTATTAAAATCATAGTTCACTAAATACATTTTTAAAATTTAAGTATTTAAATCCCCCTTAAGAGATTTTTCTATAATCTTTTAGAATTACACATACACAAGAAGGGTCTTGCTGCTCAACTAACAGGGAAACCTATACTTGAAAAAATCAGACAAAAACTGATAATATATTTTCTTCTGAATATATTCTTTCCAATGAACTAGAGAGTGGCCTTCTTACAATTATACCAAAATTAAAACTTATTTGTGTCTTTAGAAGCCTCTTAAAGGAAGACAAACCATTTATTCCTCTAAAAGCCAAATATCTACATTTCTAAAGATAAATCTTCCACATTCCTCCTCTTAAAGGAAGATAAACTATTCTTCTAAAAGCCAAATATCTAAATTTTTAAAGTCAAATCTCTACCAGTCCAAGCACTGATATGGCACTGAGCTGGCTGGCGTGAAAGTACTATCACCCTATTTAGCTTCCATTACAGTCTTTTTACCATCTGAAGGGCTATTAAATGAGTGAAATCAGATGTGTGAGTTCCATTAGGGGTCTCTTATGCCTGGGAAAGTTGAGAAGTTTAGCATCACTACACTCTTGACATTCTCCTTTCTATAACCACCAATGAGCTGGAGTAAGCTCACCATAGGAGACTCTTATAATTCCTTCCCCATAGCGGAGTGTTAAACAAGACTCAAGTCTTTATGGCTTTGAATTCCCTTTCTTTTTTTATACCATTTAAAGCAGGATGTAAGCAACTTGCTGAGATGGAAACAAAACAAAAAAGGAGCTGGGGTACAGAACAGAGCCCTGTTAACACGGGGGTGTCTTGGGGCGCAAACATGTCAGAAGGCCCCAATGTTTATCTTACTTCTTGAGGAGGAGTGTTTTAGGGCAAGCTTGTCTATTATCTGCTACTCTGGCTCCAGTTCAAAGCACTTCCCATTTTATACCATCTAGAGAAAATAAGGAAGAACTACTATGGTTCAAGGCACTTAAGAAATGGGTCCAACTTTGTGACCTTGGGCAAACTACTTAACTTCTCTGAGCCACTCGTCTGTTCATCTGTCATAATACCTAATTGCACCACACATATTTCAGCCCACTGCAGTTTTCAAAGCACTTTCACAAACTTTAGTGCATTTGATTCTTGCAATAATAACCCTGCAAAGTGGCAGGCGCTACTAGACTCATTTTATAAAACTGGAAATTGAGACTCAAACCTAATGACACACCCACAATGGTAGCCAGAAAGTGGCAGAAATGGGACTGAACCCTAAATTCCTGATTCAAGGCAAATGCTTTGCGCCTCACACATTACACTGCCTGATCTTGCTGGTTACAACAACATTAGAAGGCCACAGTTTTTTAAATATGTCACCTTTCACAACCCATGCTCATTCTGTGTTTGAAACCTGACATCCTTATAGTTTGGGGAACAAGGAGAAGTACATGAGTAAGTGCCCTCATATAAAAACTTGTATTTGCAACTTAGTTCTCTTGCTTTGCTAAATGCTTAGATCCTGAGTGCAAACTAATAGAGATGCTTAGTACTAAGATGAAGAATAATCTCAGAGATCTTCCTTCTGACAGGAATATTCATATATGAAAGAGTCAAGAATATACATTCTTCAGTTAAATTAGAAGTACTTGCAAATTATTACTTTACTAGAAAAAAAAAAAAGATGAAGAAACATGGAAGATAGACAAAGACAGTGTTGGACCAGAAATTCCTTACAAGAAAGTCCTTTGGCTGGGGTTCTTATCCTTGAAGTGTGGCCTATGCTTCCCCTTCCTCCCCTTCTATTGTCATCCTCCCATCAAGTAGGGGGACCTGTGTCCTAGGTCACTGAGGATGACTGGATACAGAGAAGAATGAGATTGTTGAATGTACACATGTTCTTTTTACTAGCAGTAAAATGCCTGAGCTGTCAGCAAACTCTGGGAGGGGCACCTTACAGTCTGTTCGGTTTGCAGGTAAAACACTGAGATGAACTGGCTGGGAGCCATATTACCGAGCATCACTGCTCCATGGTTCTCAACGTGCAATAATGTTCAAGTAAACAGAAGACAGGCTGCCCCAAGGCTCCCCCCTCTTCCCCGTCTCGTATGCCGGAGCATCAGGCACTGACCTGCTTTGCCCACTTCCCCTTCCTCAGTGATCTTTCAGCCTGGCACCCAGCTCTGAGATGAAGCCTGCTTAGCACCAGTGAAGCTCCCCACGTTCAAACCAACAACGTTCTGTGTGGAGATGAGGGAATCAAAGTTAAAATCCAACCCATCAGCATCCATGAGTTCACTACGGATAATGGACTCCATGTCACATTCCAAGCTCCCGTTGAACATGTCCAGGTCCAAGTCGCTGGGGAACTTCTCATGGCCCATGACAGGAAGGTTTGCACTAGTGGAGTACAAGGAGGAGCCTGAGAGAGAGTCCGAGAGGGTTTGCATAGACTGGTTGACAGGAGATTGCTGCTGGTGTTTGGCTGACCCAAGGCTGCTGGAGTCACTCAAGCCCATGTTGCTGACGGAATTCGACAAGGCACGGCTACCACCGAGAGCGCCCTGGGTTTGGTGCTGGTGGTGGAGCAAATTCTGATTGACCAAACTCCCCTGGTTAGGCTGCGCGGCAAAGGACATCATTGGGTCACTGCGAAGCATCACGTTCCGGCGAGAATTCTGGGCAGACACAGCGGTGCTGGCCTGAGACATCAAGGGGTCTGACTGGGTCATCATGACATCGCTGTGGCTGAGTGAGTCCGAAGTGAGCAGGTCCTGGAGTGTCTGGGTGCCATAGTGTGACATGGAAGAGAAGGTAGCTGGCTTGTTCTCTTGGATGGTCTGCATGGGAGACTGGCGCAGGGAGTTCAGGGACGAAGGTCCAAACACCGTGCTATTAAAGGAGCTGGTTGGAGAGCCCAGGCCCGAGCCCTTGGTGGTGTATGGGAAGCTAGAGCTCCGCTGCATGAGCCCCCCAGTAGGTGATGGCTGGGACGACGGGAGCGGGATGTTATCCAACAGGTCGTCCATGAGGTTGTCAGCTAGCCCGTCGTTCAGATTCATGGTGCCTGCCATGTCGGTCAGCCGTGGCAGCTCCACAGTGCATGGCTTGCTGACGGAGGGGGACAGGCTTGCTGAGCTGCTGTAGAGCATGGGTGACAACGGCGCATCATCATCCTGGACATCATCCAACTCTGTGCTTGCTAGGATGGGCGACAGGCGGCCGCTCACTGTGCTGGCGTTGGAATTGGTGCGTGAGCGGAAGTCTGTCCATGCATCCAGCTCATCACTGCTGCGTGACGTGGGGCTGCCAGGCCACTTGGAGAGCTGGGAGGGGCTGTCGTCGGCTGACTCCGGCGCTGTCTGCATGGCTGCCTTCTTTTTGGCCGCGCGGCCACGGCTCTTGGTGTACTTGTTACTGTTGTCCATGGAGACAGCCCGCCGCCGGGGGGCCTTCCCACTCTTCCCCCCATCGGGGTTGATTATCCACCAAGAGCTCTTGCCGGTTCCCTCATTCTGGACCCGCATGAATCGACTGTGCAGAGACAGGTTGTGCCGTATAGAATTCTGCAGAGACAGAAGAGAAAATACAGAAAATGAACCAGAATGAATGGCCCAAAATCAAGCACCCCGAAGACAAGGTTAACCAATTCCTCATTTTTAAAGCCAGCTTAATTTCAAAAGCTAAAAAATTAAAAAAAAAAAAAAAAAACCTGATTCAAAAAGACAAACATTTGCATGGCCCTCCTTGACTTGGTATAGAACAACATGTTAAATGGCGGGTTTCATTATCTAGGAGGTAGGGAGACAGTTTCATGTCCAGGAGATGTGGGAATGTATAAGCTCACTGACAGTGGTATTTTCCTGCATTCCTAAGTTTTACTGCTCTTTCTATAATTCTATTGCCTGCATTGAAGTTCACACTTATAATTTATTACCATACCACTCTCTCTCCAGCACTCTGCAACAAATCTCCTGTTTCTCCAAGAGTAATTCATCACCTGGGGGCTATTTTATTTTCCATGGTCCCTTCCTCCACTAGTGTAGAGGCCGCATCTACCTTTTCTTAACCACTTCTATGAATTCAGAACTGGTGAGAATTTTTACCTGTCCTTTCTATGACTCCATCTCATCCTGCCACAATTTCACACCTCACTATATAACTCCTGACAGACATAAGAATGGTAGAGCAGGATTTGCTGGGATGATGAAAGAAGTAGGCAAGTCTCCCATTCAGAAGAATTAAAATGATTTATATAGATACTCCTCCCTCAAGGCAATGTGAGCTGAGCATGGTAACTACCTTCCGAAGAGTACGGCATGAAAAGGGGGGAGAAGAGTAACTTTACAGTGGAGAAACTGCCAAACGCTGTCTCAAACAGGTGATCACAGTCAACACGAACAGGGTAAGTCGCGTTGATAGAATGTATCCCCGATGTGATGTGATGAAAATGGCACCTTCTTCTGTGGTCTTCCTTCCAAAACTCATAACACCCCAGTCTAATCAGGAGGAAAACATCCGACAAATCCCAATTAAGGGACATTTACAAAATGCCTATACAGTACTTCTCAAAACTGTCACAGCTAAGAGCCTAAGGACACATGATGGCTAAAAGTAAAGTGGTCTCCTGAGAGAGAAAAAGGACATTAAATCTAAAAAGGTATTCTAAAACAAAAGGTTTTAATTTTTTTAAAACAGTAGGGCAAAATTACCCTCAAAGCCCTGATGACTGTACCCAACTTGTAAGAATTCCTTCTGGCTTGGTATATAAGCCCAGCTGACAGGGATGACCCAGATTCAGTCCTATCTCTGCCACTGACCAACCACGTGACTCTGAATAAATCATTTAATCTGTCTGCAACAAATGCAGTTCCTCATCTTCATCATGGCCGTGATAACATCCAAACCACCCCTTCTCTGACAGGGTTGACGTAAGGGGTGTATGATGATACACTTCAGGAGCCAGTCATGCTATGAACTCAGGGTGTTCTCACTGCTATCATAAAACACAGAGCCCACGGTGGAGAGAGCTCATGGCCAGGGGCAGGCTCACTCTGGTCTGTAAAATGCCTCCCATGCAATAAAAGAGAGGAGTTGATGAATACGTGTTCTCTACATCTGGAACAGTACCTGCAGGCCAGATGAGTTTTTATTTGCAAGTTAAAGATAAAAGATATTGCCTGATGCTGTATATTAAATATGAACAATCCTAAAAGTTACTGTATTTTTTTTAAATTGGCAATCACCAACTGTATTTATGTAGAGGATACAAATACATGTGTTCTACCAGAATGTTTTTAAAACACAGAAAGTCAGCAGGATTTTACCATAAGTAAATAACTCAAAATACTCAAAGTGTTTCCCATGTATGTTCCCATGCAAGAAAGGCTTGTATTCAGGCTGGGCAATGAGCATTAGCAATCATGGGTCATAAGTTGGCATTTCTACAACTGCCATAAAGATGCATTTGGGAGAAGAAAATAGGCAACATGTTGAGTATCTGATGAAACAAATGTTGCCCAGGAGGCTATGTATCCTGCCTCCCTTTTACTCTTATGGTTCTTAAAAAGAGTAATGGCATCTCTAACTAATGATTTAGAAATCATATTTCTTTAAAAAGTAAAACACTTTCTCTATGAAATAGGTATGAAGCATGTTCTTATAACATACACTCTACAGGGTTCAGAAAGCAGGCAAGTACCAGGCGGTTCTATTAATACTACTGAGTACTCAGATGACCAGATATAACAAATAAAAACTCACACTTCAAGCCTCTGCGTGAAGAAATAGGGAGGTCCTGAGGCTATGTGGGGCAGTGTGGACACCTACCCTAATGACTGCCATCTTGGCCAGCCCCCTTTGTTCTAGCTTCTGGAAAGAGTTCACACTAACACCCAGAATTAACAAGAATTATCAAAAATAAGTATTCAGTTATTCCCTCACACAGAGTATTACTCAGCCACAAAAAACAATGGTGATCTAGCACCTCTTGCATTATCCCGGATAGACCTGGAGCACATTCTACTAAGTATCCCAAGAATGGAAAAACAAGCACCACACATACTCACCATCAAATTGGTATTAACTGATCAACACTTATGTGCACATATAGTAGTAACATTCAGTCGGGCAGGTGGGAGGGGGAGGTGGAGATGGGTATATTCACACCTAATGGGTGCGGTGCACACTGCCTGAGAATGGACATGCTTGAAGCTCTTACTGGGGTGGGACAAAGGCAATATATATAACCTAAACATTTGTACCACCATAATATGTTGAAATAAAAAAGAAGGAGGAAAAAAAAGCATTTAAGGAACAATATTTTTAAAAAGTATTTTAGTTTCACTAATTCCAAATGAGAAAATCAATGAAACATTTTATAGAACTGCAAAATGCCCCACATGGATTTTCTGATGGCCATCTATCACTGCAACTGTAACCTCCAACAATGTATGTGTGTAATTATTATATATACAAGTACAATTGAATACAATTGGCTAAAATTTGGAGACAGGTATTATGATTCTGTAAGGGCATGTGGTAATGAGGTTAGAATACTCACATCCAGGGCCAGAACCACAGGCTGTCAGGGCGGGGGAAGGACCATGGAGACCGCCCACCTTTCTAGGCCCCTAATTGAAGGGGTGAAGAAATGACAGCCTGCCAGATTACAGCACTGCCACTTACTAACCATAGGTTTTAAATTCATTGTCTCTAATCCTTGTAATAGACCTGCAGAATTAGTATATCAGTGCCCTCATTTTATATATGAAGGATCAGGTTGAGAGTTATTAAATAACACAAGGTCCCACAGCTAGCATTTACAAGAACAAAACAGAAATTGGGATTCCAAACTCTAATTCATTGCTTTTTCTGTAACTCTTCAAAGGCCACAATTATTTAGAAGTCACCATTTAATCTATTTGTGCTAACAGTTAAAGAAACTAACATTTAGGGAAGAAGAATACAAAAGCACATCTTACGGTAATTTGGTTTATGAAATAGGGGTAATACTTTGGCAGGTCCTTCTTAAAATTTTTCAAAAAAGTCTTTTCAAATGAAAGCCTGTCTTTCAGAAGAGCAAACCTGAAAGTATAAGCTCCCTCTAGCCCATGTGCTTGCCTTTCCTTAGCAAAGTGGCCACCACAGCATTCACTCTAAGGAGAGGACAGTGGTTACCATATAAACCAATGTTAACCACTGTTAGATTCTGAAACAAAGCCCAACTTATTAAATGGCTGATTAGCTTCAGTGTCCAATCTTTGCTTGACTCTCATTTTAGAGGTTTATTAGCAGCAGAATACACTCCCCTGAGAGTTTTTGTGCTCAGACAGGTTTTTCCAGTTGCATTATAGAGACAACACAAACAAAAGCTGGGCCACCATCATCCTCACAGCCCCCAATCTCCGCAGCCTTCTATTCACACAGGATGGCTAGCCTTCCATATATCAAATCCATAATCTGAAAGTGAGGCACTGACAAAGACAAATAATACACCTCATCTGTCCATTTCTAAGTCAAATGCCCCTCCTCACTCTGCTAAGGTCAGACGCCAGAAATTTATTCTACTATTTTCCTCACAGGTCATGATTCTAATTACAGTTGTCTCTTGGTACACTTGGGGCATTTGTTCCAGGACTGCCTGTGTATAAGCAAATCTGCCCACACTCAAGTCCTGCAGGCAGCCCTGAGGAACTCGCCTATAGGAAAAGTTGGCCCTCTACATATGCAGGTTTTGCATCCTGAGAATACTGTATTTTCCACCCTCATTTGGCTGATAAAAAGCCACACATAAATAGACTTGCATAGTTCAAACCCATGTTGTTCAAGGGTCAACTGTACTATCTTCTCAAATTTTGATGATACATAAAAAGTAAATAAATAGATGCCAGATAAAACATCAGGCTACTCAGGAGGCAGGAAGATCGCTTGAGCCCAGGAGTTTGAGGGTACAGTGAGCTAGGATTGTGCCACTGTACTTCATACTTTGGCGTGGGCAGCAGAGTGAGACCCCCATCTCTTCAAAAAATAAAAAAAAATTAAGAAAGAGAGAGAGAGAGAGAAAGAAAAAATAAAGGAAAGAAAAAATAAAATTGCAGTTTCCCTGCACCTTCCCTGATAACAAGCTAATGGTGGCACAATTTCTATAAGATTTCAAATAGCCCCTTCCTACCCTCACTCCCAGGAAATCTACCATTAAAATATTCTATAATTTTCCGCTAATTCACAAATCATCTTACCAAATAGTCTAAATTTCTAAGATTTTTACATTAGTGTGGGGATTGGGAGCTGAAGGTAAAAAAGGAATGGTTTGATAAAACTACAGTGATTTTTCTAATCACATCTAAATACACAGTGATAGACCCTGTGAGGCCGGCCAATGGTAACTGGCTAAAGAACTAGGAACATGCTTTCCTTAAGGTTATGATGATAAGGTATATAATACCAACCAAGACTTCTATTGCTAGAGCTCAGGCTATTCTGTCACGATGGTTACTTACTAAAGGAGCTAAGAAGCTCTATGCCCCTGACCCAAAACCATGTGAATAGTTCTGGTTATTTAAATCTACTACGTAGAAATCAAGAATCTGATGAAATACAAGAAAGCAAACATCTTCAGGAAAAAACTTTAGCTTCAGGGACAAATATATCAGTTTTTCCCCACTTGTGCCCAAAGACTTAGAGAACCCTTACAACAACTCTATCACAATGTGTCTGAAGAGATAGCAGAGATACGAATACTCTCTCATTTTTATGTCAACCTTCTCTTTTTTAAAATGATTTACACAGAAGCAAGCCTTGTACTGGGGCAGAAACCCATTAGGTGCAGTTAATCAGTAGCAGAACTGGCAAATCTGTGTCCTGTATGACTGCAGCTGCAATTAGTGGCATAACCTTTAAAGGAGGCAATGTGCAAAGGCTGTACAATGGAATTCACATTTCACAGTCATGCCGCCTAGAGATTCCTTTGCTTGGCCTACCTCGAAGAAATTATGACTGTACTTATCAGAATCTGGTAATTATTTTTCTTGCTATAACAAAGACAGTTTTCTATTATAAGACCCATTTACTGCGAATGCTCAAGTGTCCATGGTCTCTACATACATGCCAATTGGTTGTGAAGAGAGATGGACTCAAACAGATTAGGTGTTAGAAGCTGCCTGAAAAAGTGTTCCACCAATAATTTGCAAAGTGAATAATTCCCACATGCAATGGAAGGTGGCCAATGGGGGGAGGCAGCGTGAAGAAAGACCACGGACTTTGATGTCAGCCAGGTCTGTGCTGGAGTCCTGGCTCCGGCACTTGCCTGCCTCTTTGGGCAAGATTCTCAACCTCGGTTGCCCCTTTGGTAAAATGGGGGATAAAAAGACTCTCTATGTCTAGGATATTTGGGAAGATTAAGTAAATCTTTGCAAGTAAACTACTCAGTGGAATGCCAAGCACAAAAGCAGCTCTCAACAACTACTAGATCCCACACACGGAAGCAGTGACATCATGAATATTAACTTACTGTTTTCCGAGCATCACGTACTTTAAGCCAATAAGTAACAGGGCAGCCCCTTCCAGGAAAGGATTTCAAACTTCTTAAAAGTGTTTCAATGGTGCCATGCCAGTCAGGAGTAACTGGTAATTCCTCAACGCTGCTACCCTACGTCCGCTTCAGCCCTTCCAAACCATGTTTACCTTGTGGAGACTGTCCACTAATCCAGACACCAGCTGCATGTGCTTCCCCTGGAACACAGAGAAGGGTTTGTCTGGAAGCAACATGTGGTATCAATTTATCTTCTCAGCAACGGCAACAAGAAAATCTACCCTACCCACTTTAAAAATAAAAAGGGAGTTGTGCAATTTAACTCTTAAAAGCCCATGCTTTGTTTTATTTTTTTAAGATAACCCCCTTCTCTTTCTCTCTCTTTCTTGGAGGAGAGGGGCTCTTTCCCGAGAAGCAAAATGAATTATAGTGGTCAACTCTGAAGCCAGGCCCACTACGTCCCACGAGGCAGATTACAGGCATCTCCTGGTTCTTATGAGGGATTTTAGGGGGAAGTGATGCAAAGGACTGTCTTTAAATAATATGGTGCTCCTCTATTAATATCTTTTGTACAGGACCAGCATCTCAAGCAAGTTGCACTGCTTGACTTGTGGGCACTGACAATTCAGAATGAGGTTGCCAAATGCCCAAAGTCTAACATGTGCATCTGCTGCACTGCAGATGACAAAGGTTGCATGAACACCTAAATGGAAACCATGAGTCATAGGGAAGCCCAGAGGCCTTTGTGCCACAGCAGGGCAATGCCAAGAGACATCTTTAGGAAGAGGGCCTGTGGCACCTTTGGTTTATCATGATAGGGGCTTTCAAAGGCAGTTCTTTAGACCAGGCCCTCGATTCAGTTCTTCACCCGGGCTGCCCGTTAGAATCATGTGGGGAGGTTTTAAACACTTACATCCCACTCCCAAAGATTCTGATTCAATTGGCCTGGGTATAGGTACATTTTTACAGCTCTCTAGATTATTCTAATATGCAATTAGGGCAAAGAACCACTGGAATTTCCCCCTTACTTTTTCAGTGACTAAGAATCTGGTTCCCACCTAAGGATGCTAGTCTTTCGAGGTCTGGTAACATAGTACAGTGATGTCCTTCAACACACTGAATGTAAGAGCAAGAACTGGCGTCAGAGATTAAAGCTGTGATTATACATGGAAAGTAAAATGGAGAGTTCTGGAAATTTTTCAGAGAATTGAGGTCCAGATCTGCTCTTTCTTAAAAAATGATGAGGTTGGGGAAAGGATCCTTGACCCTACACTGCCCTGAGGACAGTCACTCATTCTGCCCCGTGATGCTTCTCCACCCAGCATGCACAGCATGGACAGAAAGGAGGGCAGGTGGACTTCCACAAAGCTAGGAATCGATGTGGGCTTCAGAAGGAAGGGCTGGGACTGTCACTGATGCCTATAACTTTCTTAGACATTGCCCAAGTCTAGTTTTTAGCTGCCTACTCTCTTCTACTAGGTTTTATCTACTTTGGGATGAACGTGTTTGAAACCAAGTACAGAATAATAGCATAAAACAAATTTAAAATCGAAAAGTTATTATTTCATATGTAATACCAGCCACAATGGCCAACAACAAACCTTTCAGATTGAGACGAAAACATAAATAAACCTTCATATAAAGGATTGCACAATCAACCCTGATTTGTGAGGCAAGTTCCAGTCTAGCTCCACTCTTATGCTTGTCTAAAACTTAAAATTGTAAACCATTAAGGGAGTTTTTTTTTAAAAAAGACAAATGTTCTAAAATAAATATTGTTGGGAACTTGGCTAAAGGATTAAATTTCCATCTAGCAACAAGATTTCCCGTTAAATTTGCTGACAATACTCCTCTACCCACAGAGATCTCCTTTGGAAACTAACATTTGTTTCAAATTTTCATGCAGTAAGCAAGTGACAGGTTCTGGTCCCTCATTAGGAGGAATAAAATAATCATCTGGTGATCAGAATAACGAATCCATTTCCTATCCAAACGAAATGAGATGCACGAGGCTTTCCTAGGGGAGAAGGGCTGGGCAGACATGTATTCTACCCCCAGCTGAAAAAGAAATCCTAGATGGGAAGAAATTTCTCTTAAATAGCATGAAAAAGATGGCTATCACTATGCTGCAGACAGTTTTGTTGGGTTTTCTAGTGTGGATTTTATTTTCATATTAACTTTTTAATTTTTTTTACTTAGTAATCTTCTTTCAAGCTCTTCCACAGCTGTTTCTGCTCTTGGAGGGCAAGAGAGAACATTCCATTCCTCATAGCCAAACCTGCACTTCCGGCACACAGAGAACCCTGGCAGTCTTGCAGCTTCTGCCCACACCCACTCCCTGCAGCATGCTGGCCCTCCCCCCAAAACTCTCCTACTTCCACCCCCCGTCCTGCTCCCCACAGAATGAGGAAGCAGCAGCTAAGGGGATGCAGTCGACAGAATGACAGTCCCCAGAAAGTAGGTTAAAGTTGCAGCATTTGGCCACCCCTGCTGTCATTCTCTAAGCTTGTCCCCTGGTGCTACTGAATCAGTCTCACTTTGTCACAAGGGGCTCAGTAAACACATGCTACTAAAATTCCCCCTTAAGATCCATGGACAGGTAGCCATACAAATGGATGCCTCAAGGGGTTAAAAGCCATGACATCATAAAAGCCATGAAGTAGATCAGAAACAGTTTTATTATTAACATAATATTCACTTAGATTTAAAGAAAAAATAAGGCTGCACCTTCTTCCAGTTTGAAAACTTAGTGTGTGTGGAAACGGAGAGGATAAAGGGCATTGGAAATACACACCCAGAATTCAGAAGCACATGAGAGAGTTTAGAATCACTTCCATGACATTTGACAAGTGATCAGGCCTAGAAGCTCAGTACAAAGGGTAGTACTGGGGAACATGGAGAGGGCTGGGAAACCTTTGTGTTGTGAAACAAGCAGTCCTAACTGCACACTGAAAGACACTAAGGACCAAAGAGGTTTGGGCATACCTGAATCCAATCAGCTCATACGTGGCAACAGGGCTGGGACAAACTCCAATCCCCTAGCTTTGAGATGTAAAAGTAGTACCACCTAGAAACAGAACAGCGGTCCCAGTGTCTGGATCAACATACCAATTGAAAGGATGAAATGCAGGGAGTATGTCTCTTCTAACACAGTGTGGCTCTTTAAACCAGATACCACGTCTTATTATAGCTTCAGCTACAGCTGGCATAGGGTCTGGCACATAGTAAATGCTCAAAAAATATTTTTTTAAATAAATGAATTAGTGGGAAGGGGGCAGGAGCTACAAAATAGACCTGAATTATACTTTAAAATGAGATATGATAAAAACATGAGACCAATGAATGATCCTGACATGAGTGAAGATGGAAGTAAGTTTCCATTGTAAAATCTGAAGTAACATCTTTTAAGGTTCTCTATTATAATATTATAACTAAGGTTCTCTATAATAAGGGACAGAAAGAGGAGCAATATGATAACGTACTACTTGACAAAGTGAGGGCTCGGCAGGTGTCTCAGGCCACCCAAGATGAAGAACTGACTCCCTAGCTGTCTCGGGATGGCTCAGAGTTCTTGGTGGCACACTCAAAACCACAAACAACACACCCTGGTTCTAAGTCTCCTCTAAGCAAGCACCTGGGCAGCAAGGGAAATCCAAAACCAGAGTCCACTTTACCTGCAGTCTGAAGGACAGTCATGTGTTTGGGGCTGACCAGGGCCAATGCTCTGTGCTTGACAAATCTAATCTCATTTTGTTTTCACAACAAGCCTGTCAGGGGGAAACTGAGGTGCAGAAAGGTTAAGCAACTTATCTAGGAGGTGGTGGTACTAGAAATCAAGCCTGAGGCTCACTGTAAAAGTGAAGCTCTCACCAGGGCACTGTTTCTCTCTGAAGTCACAAACCTGCCCAAGGAGGGAGGCAGCTGCTAACAGGTGATCAAAGAACAAGAAGCTTTAAAGACTACAAAATCTTTGCAATTAAATCCAGTGTTTGTCACGTGGTCCCAAGGATTATAAAATCGAGGAAAAAGGCAGGAAATTGACAAGCCATGAAACAAGTCTTATTGGAATTAGATTTGCTCATCTTCTAAAACTATTAATATTTTGTTTAGAAATGATACCTTTTCTTCTCAGACACACCCCAAAAGGGACACTCTTGCCATGTCCTAATTCAATCTGGGATCACTGTTTTGGGGAATGACCGAACATGATTACAGCCATAAACTGAACTGTTATGTATCCCGGCCTTCGTTGTGGCACATCTGGTGGCCTTTGTGCTCAGGGACAGTTAGCCCATGACCGAGTCAAGCCAGCACTACCTAGCTGTTCCTGGCAGGCCTACTCAGGCCCTAAAACAGCTGGCTTGATGCTATGGATCCTCAAGCCAGACACATCAGGCAAATGTCTGCTATTGCCCTGGATCTTGCTATTATGAGGCCTAATCTGAAACAGGGACTCAGCTCTGCACTATTTAAAACATGTAATTAGTTTATTACTGAGCCAGAAAAGATCAGTTTGCTTTAAAACTATGTGAGTCTTAAAATATGATGCCTTTTGCCTGCCAACTGACAACATGATCAGGATGCTTCTGTTTAACCTCAATCAAAAACTCTGGTAGAAAGCTGCTTTAAGGTTACATATGCATACTATTTTATTATTTGTCTTCTGGCATCAAATGCTGCAGAAACAGAAATCACTGACAATGCAAGCACATTAAAGGGATGGATGTGGAGGTGCTGAGTGGGTGAGTTAAACAGCTTGAGAGTTTGACATCTGAAATCCAGGAAACTGCTTTTCTGTTCTTAGTTTACAATCCCTTCCTTCAAATGAAATTTACTGGCTTTAACATCGCACATACAAACACAACTGTTTCTAGCTCTTCAGATGTTATGGCTCAGAAAAACCGTTCTTTTTCATCTTGTTATTTCAAGAGCAACTGGTTTCTTTTTGGTAGCTATGAAATATATGCCAATGTGTGGGCACAGTGACACAGCTACGCACAGGCCCACACCCTGGAAATACTGAAAGGAGTGGAGATAGTTTTGAGCTAGGGAAGGAAAAAGTTTGGACTAGTATTTACAAAACAGACAAGAGTGCATGCATTTGGAAGCAGGCTATCTTCTAAGTGTCAGTGTTAATTATCCTAACAGTCACCATAAATCAAGGTGTTACTGGAGAAAGAAGCGGAAAAAGTAAGTAAATGCCACATAACAGAGTATCTCATGTTGGCTGTAGCAAACAAAACAACTTTTCTTCATGGGAATAAAGAGTACCACACAGCCAATTCTGTACATTGACATGGCCAGTAGTACCTTCTGTCCCCTGTGGACCCCACTGAAATTCAGCTAATGAGGAGCTTCCTGAGGAACTGTCTCCTCTAACCTATAACCTCATCTGCCTGTGTAGTATTTCACTGTAATGGTTTTGCAAGAGTTTTTTCTTATTTAAAACCACAGGATGCAAAAGTGGTTGATGACCAATATGATGATATTGCTAAAATGCTGAGAGATAATCAACCATTTATTTCAGGACATCCCTGGGTGCCAATTACACAGAGAGATGAGCACCAGCAGAAAGCTCAAAAGTCCACATAAAATGATCAAATCAAAAAAAGAACATTTTCACTTACTAAAGAACCAAGCATTTATTCCATATTTCTGAAAAAGCATCAACTGAGCTACTCAGATATAACACATTTTTAATTTAAAATCTAGGATGTTCCCAAATGTGCAAATTAATATTAGTACTATTCTCTAAACTAAGATGAATAAAGCAGGTTGACTGTGCATGGGATAAATCAGTTTTTCTAAAGGCCACAACAGGAATGCAATGCTTCAGTACTAATACATACTAGTCTCTAATCTAACTTCATATACACTGCTAGGTAAGCGGGAAAGCACTTAAGGAACTGGGAATACCAGCATCAGTGGTGTAGCATCTAGCACCCAAAGGGCAGGAGGGATAAGACTAATTGGCAAGGGTAGTCACATAAGAGATGACAAAAGCCGAACACATAGTAGAAATGGAAAATTCCTGTAACTGGGTGCTTCAAGGGCTAAAGGAATTTAGGAGACAGTTCTTTCAGACCCTGTTTGTGTCTGGAAGAGACAGAAGAGCCTATGAAGAAGAGGTCACAGTATGGTGGAGAGTTGGGGGTGAGCCTGCTCCTCAACCAGCAAGTGTCACAGTGCTCCAGGAATCACTGGTCCCCACACGCTAGTTTTCGGTATTTCTAAGGCCATTCCTGAGGATGCAGGACCCCTGGCCTTTTATCTATCCTCCTTGGTTAAGTCTGACTCAGCAGGTTTAGCCCTTAGATTCTCTCCCCCAACTTCCTGAAGCTTTACCTGAGTGTCCTGAAGATTCCAACTCTTTCCCCTTAGTAAGGTTGTTCATTTGCTAATAAGAACTGTGTGTGGCATCACGGCACAATGAGGTATTAGGTTTTCCCCTAAGGCTTAGTAGATCACCATACACATGTGGGCCACTGAGATTAATTCCTTCACGTCAAGACAAAGGAGGAAAAATACACAGGAACAGATGCTGCTGCGCCATTTTCAGGTTCAAAGTTACCTTCAAGTAACAAATTTCCAACTCCCTGAAGCACTAGGTGGAATGGTATTACCCTATAATATTAGCTGTTTCTCCAGAAACAAGTTTATCAGGTTCTTTCAAACAGCTAAAACCTAGCAGTCATCCTAAGAAAGACAGCTGAGTCCTGATGTTAATTTGTGGATTGAAAGGGAAGTGGGAATACCAGATACTTAGAAGATTAACAAATCCACATTGGGAGATAATTTTCTATAGGTCTTGTGTTATTGCATGTCTTGCAAGTAAAATAATAATGGCTCGTTGTTTTGGACTACCTTTTAAAGGTGTTTGTATTTGCATAGTGAACAGCCCTGCAAGATAGTGATAGTTTCTCCCTCCAGAGCAGAGAACAGACATACTTACTACTCATTACAAAAGGTTAGGATCCCTAAACTCAGGGTTCCTGTGCAACTCACTACGTGTGGAGGCATCAACCTGGGCACATCTGTGTTACCCTGGTGGAACTTGAGGGCAAAGAGGGAATTGATGCAAAATATGCTGTTGCTAATGTTGCTTGCTGTGTCATGAGTGAATAATAAATTCCTTTGTCTCTGACCCAAGAGGTTTGGAACTTAGAAGGGGCAAATCTGAGACTCTTGCAGTTTTGATAGTCCACTGCTTTAGCTTATGAACAGCTGATATTTCCTTAACTGCAAAAGATGAAACTGGGCAATTCAACTCTAGCCAACTTTCTGCTCTTTCCCTACATAATTAAGAAGGAATACAAGATAATGGGATGAAAAAGGGAAAGCAAGAGAGGGAGATATACATGGCTGCAGCACTTTGAATGTTCTGGCCTGGCTCTGCTGAGGACCCTTAAGGCTTTATGAACAATTAGCCATTAATAAAAGAGGAGAGGGTGAGAGGATCCCCAGAGTCATTTTGTAGTGTTTCATCTGTGTCTGTCACCTTTTTCAGCTGTTGCTCAATGCTGCGGTTTGCATGTGAGGAATAGAGCTGAGTGAGCAGCAGGTTTAGGTTTGTTTCTTTTACCTTCCTCTTCTACTAGGCACAAGAGCAGATCGACCACTTAATGTCCACCCCACCCATACTCCTCATATTCCTTACTAATACAATCTTGATTTTTAGCTGGGCCCAGAGGAAAGGCTTACATTCTCCAGCCTTCCTTCACGTTAGATGTGGTCCTGTGACTTAATTCTGAAAGTAGAATGACATGGAAGTGTAAGAGTTCCATGGAATTTGAGGAAGACAGTTTAAAGACAGCTGAGCCTGGTGAGGGGTGAGTTCCTTTTGTCCTCCTGCTGTCCTTCCTCCCTTTGGCCTACATCTGAATGGACCACAAGGGGTGACTTGCTGACTTTCACCTTACACTGGGGCAGTATAAGAGAAGACTTATCCTCAGTCACTTCTTACAGTGGTCATAGCAGCCCTAGACTTCTTTTACATGAGAAGTAATTTCACTATGAAATTTGGGTCTTCTGTTATCCAAGCCAAACCTGATTCTAACTGATAGACCCAACAATTCTATTTTTAGGAATTAATTTTACTGATACACCCTTCTGTATGTGTCATCTGTGTGTATAACACATATGCACATGCTGTCTCTCAACTTTTGCATATTTAGATTTATAACAAATAATAGTTATTATAAAATGTCAAGTTTTAATAATGATAATTAGGTGTCTGATCACATTAAGATAATGCAATAGAAACACCTAACAAGAAAGACCTTTTTGGCCGGGCGCTGTGGCTCACGCCTGTAATCCTAGCTCTTGGGAGGCCGAGGCGGGCGGATTGCTCAAGGTCAGGAGTTCGAAACCAGCCTGAGCAAGAGCGAGACCCCGTCTCTACTATAAATAGAAAGAAATTGATTGGCCAACTGATATATATATATATATAAAAAAAAATTAGCCGGGCATAGTGGCGCATGCCTGTAGTCCCAGCTACTCGGGAGGCTGAGGCAGAAGGATCACTCGAGCCCAGGAGTTTGAGGTTGCTGTGAGCTAGGGTGACGCCACGGCACTCACTCTAGCCTGGACAACAAAGTGAGACTCTGTCTCAAAAAAAAAAAAAAAAAAAAAAAGAAAGACCTTTTTGTGCCTACCTCGCACCGACCTTAATGTGTGTGTCATCAGGCACTTTGAAAGTGCTTTTCAGTGAATGACTGTGTATGTGCTGGACACTGTCATACTCTGATGTTACAGGCTGGCAGGGCTAGCAGTAATCCTCCTAGCCCCAGAGTTTTAGAAGTTCCAGCATGGAGGCCACTAAGGATAGAAACTCAGCACATTTGCAAGTGAAGAGGCTATGTTATGATGAGATTATTCACACTTCTTGTTTTGGGCCAACCTGGATTTCAAGCAAAAAAGCACTTTGGGGGATTCAAGACACAGAAATGAATCATGGGAAAGATGGCCCGTGGAGACATACAGTTTTAACTTATACTGAGAATTAATTTTATGGTAATAGAATATATAAGGTTATTTCTACCACTCATGGGAATTATGCCTGGGCCACTGCCTTAGCAACAATTTTCATATAACTATCCAGAAATAACATTAACAGCCAGTGATCACAGAATATCTATAAAATACCACAATGTTGTAACTTGGACAAAGGCTTACATTATACTCTTCTAACTTTGTAACAACGTGAAATGAACAGAAAGTAAGACAGTCTCCTCTAAAGCCCAGAGCATCAAATCTAAAAAATAAAAATGTTATCCAGTAAGAAAATGAAAGTCTTATATCTGGACATTTTGGGATGGCATCCAATAACAGTACTAAAAAATAATTCTATACTCCTACTGAACCAAATGGGGTTAGTTACCTTTTCCTTAAAATAAATTTTCCCAAATCAGGAAAATAAGTAAACAAAGAGATCTGTCATAAAGCTATTCCAATGCTCTGAATAATAATGTTCCCAAAAGATCAAAAGTCACTTTATGAAAAAGACACCTGCACTCGAATGTTTATAGCAGCACAATTCACAATTGCAAAGCTGTGGAAACAACCCAAGTGCCCATCAATTCATGAGTGGATTAATAAAATGTGGTATATGTATACCATGGAATACTACTCAGCTTTAAGAAACAATGGTGATATAGCACCTCTTGTGTATTCCTGGATACAGCTGGAACCCATTCTACTAAGTGAAGTATCTCAAGAATGGAAAAACCAGCACCACATGTACTCACCAGCAAATTGGTGTTAACGGATCAACACCTAAGTGGACATATAGGAATAACATTTATCAGGTGGTGGGAGGGGGAGGGGTATATACAAACAATGAGTAAGATGTGCAACGTTTAGGAGATGGACATACTGGAAACTCTTACTCAAGGGGGGGGGAATGGGCAATACAAGTAACCTTAACACTTGTACCCCCATAATATGCTAAAATAAAAATAAATAAATTAAAAAAAATAATGCTGTATAAGAATAAAAACATTACTGCATTAAGATACCATAGACTTGTCTCAATTTTTCCTGTCTATAGGCTGGATGTTGAAAACAGTGTCTATTAAGGCCTAATAAACAGGGCGGCTTTATGAATGTTTAACTAGGCTGCCAAATTTAATCTATATGTAAGAAAGAACATGCTGGAAAAATAGCCCCAAATGTTCCCAGTTAGGTATGTACTTGCTGGGTTGTAGTCAGCGAGTATGAAGACAGGGCCATCCTCAGGAACACAGAAAAAATGGCTAATTTACTCAGAGGGAAGAGGAGGTTACTTAGTAACTAATCTTTTATGTACATTTTACTACATAGTTAATCCCCTAAACCTGTGTGGGATAAAAAATGTTTATTTCAGAGTTTAAACTGTCCCTCTCAACATCTTTTAGCCCCTTCTTGATATGCTATTGAGTCTACTCCTGGCGTTTCATAAATAAATGTGTAGAGTCTCAGCTCTCTGAAAGTGGCCCTGTGGCACCAACATCCCCCCGGAGCCAGGACTGCCAGCTGTTGTGGTATTTCCCATGAAACTCCTAACACAGGGCTGGGCACTCCACAGACACTCTTTGTTTCATTAAATTATAACCACACTTAAGGAAATTTTAAAAGGAAAAAAGTCCCTTCAAATCACAATAAGCATTTGATGGTGTAACCACTGTTTCCATAGGCACAAATGTCCTACATTCAGTTTCCTTTTGCTTAGGGATTTGAGCAAAACATGCAGGATGCTCCATTCTGCATGCTTCCCAGGAACTAATGCCTGGTGCTTACTTCAGTCTTCTGATCATTAACTTTCAGAATTCTATGAGTTGAGGGTGACCATGGCACTATTCCACAGAAGATACCATCTGATGTAGGGGATAGACACTGGCAGGTAGGTGGAAGGAATAACAACACAGGTAAAGCCCCTCCCCCCAGCCTCACCTGAACTGTCAGGGCTGGAGTAACAGAAGAAGAATTGGAGGAGCCTCACATTCAGTCGTTTAAATGGGTATTTATTGAGGTCCTTCCACAACCCAGGCATACAAATGTGAACAGATAGACGTGTTCCCAGGTCTCATTCATGGATTTTACAATTTCATGGGGTAAATTAGAGGTAAGGGACAGACATTAATTATAGCAAACACATATAATTACAAATTGTGAAAAATGATCTGAAAGAAAACAATAGGGTACACCAGAGGAAATAACGAGGTGGATTGGGTGGACCTAAGACTTAGACTGGAAAGTCAAGAAAAACCTAGCACCTGGAGGATGAGCAACCAAGTAATGAAAGCCACTGGGGCAGATGAATTTACCTGCAGAGAACAAAGGAGAAGAGAAAACCTGAGAGGTTCTCCTTGAAGTCATGTAACATGAGGGCAGGCAGAGGACAAGGACCAGGCAAAACAAAATGAATAGGTGTCACCAAACACAGGGACAGTGTGGCAATCACAGCCATGAGAACATAGTGCTTCAAGAAGAGAGAGGTCAACACTGAGAGATTCAGAAAGAGGAGAGACCAAAGAGTGCCGATGAGCTTTAGAAACAAAGAGGTTATCACTGGTTGGTTTGGCAACAGCAGTATCAGGGAATGCTAGGGACAGAAGCCAGGGAAGATGCCAGCAAGGGATTACCAATGATAATAAAAAAGCTAACATTTATTCAGTGCTTATTATGTACTAAGCACTGTTCCAAGTGGTGTTGTTTTTTTTTTTTAAGAGATAGGGTCTCACTCTGTTGTCCAGGCTAAATTATAGTGGTGCAATCATAGCTCACTGTAGCCTTGAACTCCTGGGCTTAAGTGATCCTCCTGATTCAGCCTCCCAAGTAGCCAGCACTACAGGTACACACCACCATGCCCAGCTAATTTTTTAATTTTTTTTTTTTTTTTGGTAGAGTTGGGATCTCGCTGTGTTGCCCAGGCTGCTGTTCTGAGTGCCTTATATGTATTATCTCTTTAAGTCCTTAAAATAATGAGGGTAATATTATCCCCATTTTACAGAAGAGAAAACTGAAGCTTGCAGAAACCTGCCTAAGACCACATGGATGAGAATCAAGGCTCTGGCTCTAGAGACAGTCATGATGCAGTGAAGGCCTTAGAGAGTGAGAAAGAACAGGACCCAGACCTATGTGCAGGGACTGGTGTCCTTGCCCTCAAGCCACATGACAGCCTTTCCCAGCAGAGGACATAAAATGGGGCAAAACAATTTACAGATTCTACACATACAAAGAAGAACAATGACCACAGGATCAGTCCTTTCATCTTGTGAAAATACTACCTAGAGGTTGGGAAATCCTGTAGCACAATTTGATAATTTCCCACTTACTTTCCCATTCACCAATGAGAGACCCAGGGACATTATTTCACCTTAGAAATGATCTGAGGGGCAAAGACAGTTGAACTCTGTGTTGAAGTCAGGTCTTTGCTCCTCCTGAACTTTCTACAGTTCAGCTCTGGAAGACACCACTGCTGATTAGTGGGCACCACTGCCACAGCCTGGGCAGCGGTGGGGCAAAGCAGAACACATGGAATCATTCTTGCTATTTGTCTTCTCCTCCTACAGTCTGGCCAGGAAGGAAAGCTAAGCAAAGAGAAGAAATTGTTTGATTGCCATTGAACAGTCCTCTTAATCCATAACCAGGAACACAAACAAACAAAATACAAAAGAAAAATAGAAGAGTAGTTGTTGATTTCTTCTGAGTTCTGCTCATCTTGTTTTCAAAATCCAGCAATCCCACTGCCTTTACCTCCACCTCAAAACAGTTTTTAGGTACCTAGTTTCTCAGATAGCCTCAATGTTCAAAACAAGCAATATAAGGAAGCTGTGGTGCCTGACTGGTCCCCTAAACCCTCCCATTCCCAAAGCCTCTTCTTTGTCCTTTCTGCCTCCAGCTAGTTTGATTTACACTAAGACTGGAAAGGTCAAGCTGGCCATGGGGTAAAGAACTCATTGTTTACACAGTAGAATTACAAGAATGAACTAAAAATGAAGTCATCCTCTGTAAAACAGCACGACACAAAAACGGGGGTGAAATAAAATTCCTCCTACAGTAAGGCTTTCCATATAGATTACCAAACGGGGGGCGGGGGGAGGAGATGAGAGTTTGAAAATCTATTTACACTTAAGACTTACTCTCTTTGGATTTGGAGTTGAAGAGCAGCACATAGAAATTCTTTGGCTAGAAAGCTTAGATGTACTAATCAGATCATGTGAAATACCCATTATGCTCTGGATTCTTGCAAATATGCTTAATCTGTATGCAAAGACCAGAAACAAACAAGCTGCAACAATAACAAAAATTGAAGTTGCATTAGTTGAGGATGAATTAACTTTATGGAACCACTAATTGGACTCAGCTGGACAGGGATCAGACCATTCTACCTGTGATTCTTGCAGCGACTACCCAAAACAATGCAAGTTAAGAGTTAAAATGACAGTCTCACACAGTGAGAGTATTAAAGTAATTTAGAGGGCACCTGCTCCCATACAAAAAAAATTCTAATTTTTCATATAATTTGGTAGTCTTGAATTGGATGAGAGATTAACTTTTTTTATTTTCAGACCTTAACTTTTCCTTGATTACCAAAGTAACAATTTGCTTATTCTAAGCCGCAGAAAAAACATGTGACTGATCCTCCAGACACCACCTTTGTGGATTTTGCTACTTACTTTCTATAATTTTTTGTTTATATGAACGAGAGCATCCTGCATGCTATCCTGATTTCTCGCCAAATTAATGTTATATTGTAAGTAGTTCCTCATGTCAATAAACCCTCTGAAGCATATTTCTTCAAACATCAACAACCTGTACTATTCATTGTTTAGTTGGGTACTTCTCACAAAGTTTGAATTAGTATTTTATATGCTTCAAGTTCCAGGTATTCTTGCATTCTTCTTCCTAAATTCCATGCAGACTGTTCTTCCAGTTAGCCCATTTGTACAGACAGGTCTTAATACGAGTAGCATTTGTAGCCAAGGTCCAAAGGCTCTTTTAACTAAAACGTTCTCCTCCTTCACAAGCAAAACACAAAAGGGACTTTGATTAATGTCCTTGTCCTGTGTTTTGTGGTGACAGTTCTAGCCCTACCACATACATCACACTTGAGGATAAGGGTTGGTTATATACTTCCTAGTCCTCACATCCCTTCCTGCTTGCTGCAAGGGCAACCAAGCCACCAAAGGAAAGAAATAACACAAAAATGGAGTAAGGTGAATTACACCTTAAATTTGTATCAAGTAGTCATCACAACTCTGTCAGGTTAATAAGTTAAATGTTATTATCCTAACTGATGCAAAAGAAAAATGGCACAGAGAAGGTGAGAAAGAGCTTTAGAACAGGAAGTGGCTTTAGAGCTTATCTGAACTCAGTGGTTTTCAAACTGTTTATGGAGCCCCTAGAGATTCTTTTTGGGGTCCCTGGGCAGGAAAAACAGACCAAGTCACCAAAATTCAATGTGCCAAATTTATGAAATTGATTTCTTTCAAAAGCATTTACAGGAATGTTTTAACAGCACTAGAAACAATGTTTGGGTTCTGTTACTATTTTTAATTTAA